ACTTTTCCCACGATCATCGACTCGGGGTTGTTTATAAATAATTCGAGCTCCTCACTTCTCTCGGATTCTAAGGAAATGGCAGCAAGTTCAACGTTAGCTTTTGTATTCTTATCGGCTTCTTCTTCCTCATCGCTCTCACTATCAGAGTCTGGGTACATTTTGTGTAAAGGAAAACGGGACTCATTTTGAGCTGAAAGAAAACGATTCTCTTTGTTTTCGGGGGAACTAATACAAACGGTGGAATCGCCAACAACGTCGTCATTTTCCGTCAAAGGAGCTTCTTTGATGTCAGAATTACCCTCGTCAAGGAGGTTCTCTTTAGAACTTGCGGAAGAAAGAGGATGTGTAGTGAAGTTGACAGGCGGAGGAGTACCTGTGCTGCTGCTGCTGTAGTCACTTTCAATGTGCGTTCCCGTCGAGCCTTGAGTGGACACAGACGATTTTCTTTCATTACCTTCCGAGTTACTGGAAGTTCGAATTTTTCCACATATTTTTGAACGAATTAATTGGTCATGCATGCTATGTGATTCCTCAAATACCGAATGTGTATCTCTTGAAGCATTACCTACGTTACCTTTAGTTCTATGAACTTCGTGTGCGTCAACACTGGATATTTTTGTATGTAGTGTTCTACTGTTATCAAGTCCTTTATCTTCGCTCTTCGTAACAGAGGCGATTGTGCCCGGCTGATTCTCTGTGCCCCCAAAGAGAAGACCTTTAAGATATGCCACTCGGGAAGGTCGTTCTGTGTTCGAGAGACGCTTTGGAGACCCGTTTTCACCCTTGAGGAAGGTCTGCTTCTCACCGCTTTCCTGTTTCTGTATGCTCTCGCTGAGCGGCTTCTTACAGGCCTCCGATTCACCTGCTTCGTCGGCAGAATCTTTCCTTATTCTCTTTAGGTGATACTGGTATTCTCTCTCGGTTATCAGGCGGAAGGGAACCTTGTCTTCCGAAGTTCCGGTTGCTTCCGTTGCAATTTCTTGTGCTTGCGTTTGTGTTGGAGGTTCCGTTCCTTTCTGGTTTTCACTCTCGTTGATTGGACTGCGTACTGTGTCGTCCACATTCTCTTCTGGATGTGCAACCGCTGTGCCGATAAGTTCAAGACTCCCAGCTATCTCCGTCTGGCTTACCGACAAGTTTTCACCCTGTTCTTCGAGAGGCTTCCCCTGTGAGTCGCTGCTCTCGTCGCCGCTCAGTGAAGGGTCAGGGTCGCAGCGGAATCCCTCGGGAGGCGTGATGATGACCTCTGTGACAGGCGTCGGGGACGATGACGTGGAGGAGACTTCCGCATGGCACGTCCGGTTGGAGGCTTCTGACGACCTGCAAAGGGATAACTCTTGCACTTCGAGGGAACAGTCCGGCGGATCGACGTGTATTCGCTCTTGGTCTGCTGCCGAGGAAACGCTCCCAGCTGACGACTCTGGAAATTCTCTCTCCTCCAGCGAGAAGTCCCTGAAGAAGAGGTTATGTCTGGAGTCCTCGGCGCCAAAGCGGTGCTTCCAGAGCTCGGAGTCCACCGTTTCAAGGTTGTCTTTATACAACACAACTCCTCTGTCTCCATCTTGATTCTCGGAGGGAATGGCGCTCTGAGAACGGGCGATGTGGAGAGCGTCGAAGCAGCGAAGGACACGATCCAACATGGTGTCTTCAGGAAGTTCTGGGAGCGAAAGAAAAGAACTTCCTTCTCCTTCTCCTCCTCCTCTTCGACCTTCTTCTTTCCTTCTCTTTTCCATTCCTGTATGGGGATCATTCAGAAGACACTCCGAGGACCCTTGCCAAGGCACCAACGACAAAGGTCCCGAGGATGCAGAATCCTGTTCTAAGGATTCCTTACTCGCTCCATCATCTCCAAGTCGGCCAAATTCGTAAGTACTCTCACATTTATTCCTGTTTATTGATAATAATTTCTCTGATAATTCCTTTTTAAAGTCGTCGTTATGAAGTACACATGAAACATTTGACTCTTTATTCCTTGGACTATATAAGGAGTCAGATGGTTTGTTAGTAGTTCCACTGTAAATTTGGTTAGTAAGTCTATGTATACTATGTTTGTTAGTTGCCTCACTCACACAGTCAGATCTTTTATTAGTAGATGCACCAATAATGGTCTGTACATTACTGGTCCGTTTACTTACACCGTCACCACTCTGGCCACTTAAAATACTAGATTTTTTGTCAATTGGTCCACATGCACCTTTAAAATACTGTTTAGTTGCCCCACTTTCACTTTCAGTCACTAGGCTATTAGATTTGCCCTCCCTCGTCTCATCTTGCAGGCCCCCTCGGCCCGCAGTTCCCCCTCGGGAATCCAAGCCCCGGGTTGCCTCACCCTCAAGGTCCATACCAAACTCTCTGCGGAAAGTTCTATATTGTTTATTATCATCATCATCATTTCCCACAGTAAAAAAGCGCCTGTTATCGGTGGTACATAAGTCATAAGTACTAAAGCAAGACTCTTGAGTTGCAAGCCTCAGGCAGGGGCGTGTCGGGGTCGCCTCCGAGGACTCGACGGAGGAGCACGTACCGTCCTGGTCCTCGTTCCTGGAGAGACTGCCTCCTCCGGACAGCGCTCGGGGTCACGCGCACCGGGGTCGGCCAGTCGCGGGCGGTGGTGCGGGCCTGGTGACTGAAGGACCCGTCACGGCGGTCCGGCCGGCTGGAGTCCGAGCACCGCCTGGCCCTCGGACGCGGCACCCGACCTCGGCAAGACGTGTGGGGAGTCCCCCGCGCCGCCCCTTTCAGGTCGGGCAGGGACGACCAGCTATGGGGAAGGGTCGACGACTCGGGGTCCGAGGACGAGTCCGGCCCTGGGCATGTGGAGGAGCCACTGGAGGTCAAGCGCCGTCGAGGGGCTGGCACTGGGCGACTCTTTCTTATTTCTGGCGAAGAATAAATACGGTTGTTTAAGTTCTACTTGTCCAAGAAAGAAAAAATCTTGCACAGAAAAATACACTGACACATGTATACGGCATTCCAGATCCCTAATCATAACCTGTTTTTTTCATTTAATGCCGAAAAAAAAAAAAAGTAATATACCCACGACTTCACACTCTACACCTAAATTCTACTTCGACAACATTCTAACATTCTGTAAAATTAGAACTTTCACTCTCTCTCTCTCTCTCTCTCTCTCTCTCTCAATCACTCACTCTCACTCTCTCTCTTCTCTCTCTCTCACCACTCACCCACTCTCTCTCTCTCTCTCTCTCTCTCTCTCTCTCTCTCTCTCTCTCTCTCTCTCTCTCTCTCTCTCTCTCTCTCTCTCTCTCTCCACATACCACATAAACCAATATGCAGTGTGCAAGACGTATAACATATGTGACTCCAGCGTCTATGACGGTGCTCGAGACAAAAGAACACTCAGAAAACAAACAAAAACACACAATATACCCCACCAAAAACTACACACGAAAAAAATACATATACACCCACACACAAAACAATTAACACAACTTACGGTTTCGCAAACAAAACAAACAAAATCCAACACTCATTAAAGCAAGCAAACGACCCCAAAGTGCCCATATAGCATACAATCCACAGAACAGTGACGCAACTCGCTCTAATACATATTCCGAGAAGCCAACTCCAAAATAATCCACTACGGTAAAAAAAAAGCGGACAAACGCGTAAATAAACATGGTGGAGAGCAAAGCAAATCCCACACTGGTATCAGCTGATGACTACTTTAAAGGGGAAGAGAAAACGTAAACAAACAACACCCGTATACTTACGTGCGGTCTGGGCAAAGCGTGGGAATGAAATTTGTATTAATTTTAGGAAATAACAACACCGTTACAAAACAGGTATATATACACACACATTCTTATTCTAACGTTCATGTTGTTGATTAGTATGAAAATATTGAACAGATCTCCCTGACTTTCTCTATATCAAGGGTTATAATAAACATATCTGAAGTAATGCTGAACTCTACACGTCAGAGATGTTGTTCAGGTACAGTAAATGGCACTGTTCATATAACACAATCTATACCACATATCCTGGCACTTATAAATAAAGGAATAACAGGCAAGTTAATGCCATTCGATGAACAATCCCGAACATGCAACGAAGACTGAAGTTATTAATAAACATATTATGT